ACACGTTCACATCTGCCTAATACATAGTTTAAGAGTGATCGAGGATAACTCATGCTGAAGATCAATGTCTTCTTTTTGAAGCTGAGTGAGTTTAAGAAGGTCGATTCCTTGGAAACTGTTCAAGGAGCTAATTCGAGACAAGGCATCTGCGACTACATTGTTTGCTCCAGAAATATGTTGTATGTCTGAAGTAAACTGCGAAATGTAGTCGAGTTGTCGAGACTCTCGCGGTGAGTACTTGTCTGAATATGAATTTAAAGAGAAGGTAAGAGGTTTGTGATCGGTAAAAAGCGTGAATTCTCTTCCTTCGATGGAATGTTGAAAATGCCGTACAGCACAATACATAGCTAGGAGTTCCCTACCGAACGTGCTGTACCTAGATTCCACGTCTTACAACCGTCTGGAGAAAAATCCTAAAGGTTGCCACGAGTTGTTAACCCATTGTTGTAAGACTGCTCCGATTGCTGAGTCGGGTGCGTCTACTGCGATACTAATGGGCGCTTGAGTGTCCTGATGAGCAAGCAGGGTTGCTTTAGTGATGTGTTCCTTAACTGTGGAGAATGCTTTACGGGCTATGTCGTCTAGACTAATTGATTTCGCATTTCCACGAAGCTGATCGGTTAACGGTTTCATTAGGGATGCGCATTTGGGTATGAACCGTCTATAGAAACTTACGAGTCCGTTGAAAGTTCGTAACTGCTTGATCGTGGTCGGTTCTGGGTAATCCAGAATGGCCGCCACTTTGCTCCTAAGGGGTCGGATGCCTTGGGCATCAATAGTGTGTCCTAAGAAGTCTAAGCAGTTAGTTCCGATTTGGCATTTCTGGATGTTGACAGTAATGCCATGCCTTTGGAGTCGATCGAAAACAATGTCCAGATGCTTGAGATGTGATTCTCTGTCCGGACTTGCTATTAGACAGTCATCAACATACGCATGTACGAAGTTGAGACCTCGGTAAACGTTGTCTATAAACCTTTGGAAGGTTTGAGCCGCATTTCTTAAACCAAAAGGCATTCACAAGAATTCGTAAAGACCGAAGGGAGTGATGATGGCGGTTTTAGTAATGTCGTCAGGTGCCATCGGGATTTGGTTATAAGCTTTAACCAAGTCAATTTTCGAAAAGACAGTTGTACCTTTCAAGGTAGCTGTCAAATCGTGAATATGAGGCAGCGGGTAACGATCGGGAATGGTTTTAGCATTCAGACGCCGATAATCACCAGTTGGCCGCCAATCATTGCTGTCCTTTTTAGGGACCATGTGCAATGGGGATGCCCATGGACTATTCGATGGTCGAATTATCCCTAGGTCCATCATGTGGTTGAATCCGTTTTTAGCTAACCTAAGCTTTTCGGGAGCGAGTCTTCGAGCTTTCGAAAATACAGGTGGTCCTGTAGTCGAGATGTGATGTGTAACATTGCTGGTTACACAAGGTAATTTCAATTGCGATTGGCATATCCCGGGGTATTTGTCGAGTACTGATTGGTACAATGGGTCTATGGCCTGCTTAATCGTGACTGGGGATAACCTGCAACCAGAACAAGGAGTTACGTAAGTGGATAACTTAGTGTTCTCGTCTATTAACCTTCGTGCGCGTGTGTCGATGAGTAGATTGTGGTGTTGTAACAGGTCTATACCAATGATTGGCATAGAGACATCTGCAACCACGAAAATCCAGTGTATGGGTTTGCGTAAACCCACGTTAAGGTAGACGTACCTTTTACCGTAATTAGCGATCGGCTTTCCGTTTGCCGCCTGTAAACTTAAAACAGACTCGCGAAGTCTGTCGTCGGGATTTGATTTAAGAACGCTAACTTCTACGCCAGTGTCGACGAGGTAACAAACTTTCGTAGTCACATCCGTGACATATAAGAGGCGGCTGTGTTCGCCGGCTACGGTTGCCGTTAACGCGTGCCGGCTGGGAAGTTTCCCGAACTGTTTTTCGTGTCACTCGATTTTGGGGTCGGATAATTGCAGGGCTTCCTGCAATTTCTAGAGGATTTACCGTACTGGTTGTGATACCAGCACCAGTCGATGTTGTCTGTCTCTCGTGGTCGAGAGACAGATCTCTTACGTGAAACGTTCCTACGTGAGGAATTTGACCGACTACGGTCATTACGAACTCTAAGATATCTTGTTACGTACCTGTTCAACTCGCGCGGTAACGCCTTAACTACAGCGAGGATACGTGTGCGCGAGTCCGTGATTCCGTGCATGCAAAAATCGGCTTCTGCATAGCAGAACCAGGACTCGATATTGTCGGGCCAAAATGGCGTTAACTGAATCGAAATAGGGGGAATAGACTTTAACTTAAAAACCTTGGGTGAGTGTTCCATCATAATAATATAGATAACGAAAAATGTTTATTATTATAATATATCCGGAAAAAAATTCGCGAAAAAAAGTATATCACAATATATAAAATTCAAATAAAGAATAACAATAATAATATTCCAAAATGGAACAAACTCACACTGTATTGACTTGGTGTACCAGATCACGTCGGTCTCACCAATGATGATGCAACGGATATTCTAGTTTTACAACTAGATACCAGTAGCACCTTCTATATTCGATTGTTCCCAGTCAGATAGAAATCAGAAGTCAGACGAGAAGAGGCAGGAAAGATATATTTGATTGGTTACCAATATATCGAGGACCTTTTCTATAAGCTGGCTAATGAAACGTAGGAGCTGTGTCCCACGCTGTGTTGAAACGTGATCTGGTGCGGATGCATGACCGAAAGCCTTCAGCTAAACAACTCCACTTAAACAACGTGGTCAGCATCCAATGTCGAACACTTAATGAGCTATTGATTTTGGGGAATTATTTACAGCTACAATGCTATAGCTACACCAGTGAGGACACGGGAAGCAGCTTCAGGGCTTCCAGATACATGGATCGTGAATCGAGTAAGCTCTTTATTTTCATATGGCGAGGTTTCAGAGACGCTGCATAAATCGATTGTGCGAGATTTTATAGTCCTAACGATGGAGGCCTGTTGTCCTATTTGTCACAGTGTTCTGACGTTAAAAGCTCCTACATGTAGTTTAGAGCGTGGTTTCAGGAGACCAGGAATAACGTTCTTTGTACTTAAATCGTTTGCCCAGGCGGTGCGAGGTGATAATAGGACTTGAGAAGGATTATTCGTGGAGATAAAAGAGTTATTAGAAGGTGTAGTAAAGATTTCAATGTAATCAACTGATTTAAGTTAACACTTCATATCAGTCATTCCAACATTGACGGTTTTATTTTATTTTATATGACAGACAATCCTTAATTCACATGTTATGATTTTAAATGATGTACTCCGCCTTAAATCTCATCATTTTTATGGATTACTAATTTTGATACATTATTATAGGTCTCGATGAGAAGTTATTGAAAAGAACATCCTTTGTTCATATAATTGGATTTTAATGGCAAAGCTGTTTAACAAAAATCGATTTGAGGATTTTCAGTGTTCAAACTGTTAGAGATAATTAGAATGCTCTCCCCCAGTAACTAACTGTAAACCGACTCCGAATTCCTGGATTCACTCACATTTTCTCATCTGGCTCCTGAAGTGACGAACAAATATGTGTTGTAAGAAGTAGGGACCTTGCTACATGAAATATACATACTGACGAATATCATGTGAATGATGCATGATAGTTGTTGATTCCATCCAATGCCATTATTTCTATCATTTACCCATGTTACACTGCTTTCGTTATGTCACCAACGTCCATCTGTTAGCATTCACATTTTTGTTTGTCAATTTTTTCTTGATTGATAATTTTTACCATGCTGTGTCTTTCTTGTCCATTCATCCATTGACCTACTTCTTAATTTTTACGCTGAAGCTGACCAGTCACTTAACCTGAAACGCGAAATCTGCTAGGTATAGTTACACTTCTGGTCAGGGACGCAACCGTTCGACCAAACTCAAGATACACCAGCTCTCTAGGAATAATTGCATCAAACGGCTAAAACACATTCATTTTGTGCAAACGAAGACTTTGAACCGTGGATGCGAACAAACCATTTGGTTCAGCTTAGGTCATCATTGATACCTCATAGATACTCAGTGTTTGACAACACGTATGTCCAAAGTATCTCGTAAAACCATCATGTACCCGATGATATCAAAATTCTGAGATGTTGTGTGACGAAAATACATTCCGACAAATGAATATATATATATATATATATATATATATATATAAATGAATATAAGCTATCTAGTTGTGATATCAGATGAGCAGACCGACATGCCAAAAATATTCATGCGTTAATGTTTATTCGAGCTGGAATCGTATTCTGAAAAATCATAAACCACAACAGGCAATGTTGAAGACCTACAAACCTATTAATTTCAACCGATTGTTTTGCAGGACTAAAATATTGGCATCGAATGGCCTTTAGGAAGTATTTGAACTCGTTCCAACGTATTCGTTTCATATTAAGCATATAATCTGGCTTTTTTTAACGACTTGCTTCGATGTAAATCAGTTATCAGTATAATGTGCATTTAATTGGGTCAGGAATAGGTTTACATTGTAACTAACATAGGTGGAAACCTTGAGAAGTGTATGTTCCACAGTTGGCTTTTGTATTGAGGTTATGATTCATGAAGACATCTGGACTCTTATAATTTATAACCTTATATATAGTTTTTCCATTGGTCTTAGATTGATGCACATCATCATTACCAATATGCTACACAACTCTCTTCACTGTGTTTACTTTTAATGATAGTCGGTTCGCTAAAGGCCGTCCATATCAGCGTATGAAATTTAATATTGTACTGAAGAAGGAAGGCAAAGTAAATTTAGACACTTTCCTTTTGACTGACTTGTAATCCTCGTAGGTAGATAGTTGTAGGAGTAGTGTAATTTTAACTAACCCCACTCTCAGTTTGAAGTTCTTTAATAGACGATTGCTACTTTGTTTCTTTGACGTTTCTCACTACAAATACTTCATTGTAGTCATTGTTCTGACATCCTTCTACTTCTTACAAGATGGAGGCATTAAAATCGCTTACGAGCTTCACCGACAGGTTTTACGAACAAATATTAAATGAAAGTCATGGTGAGTTTATTCAGATACGATAGTGCTACGAATGTGTTTAGGTCAGTGGGAAAATACTTTTCTCTCCCCGTTCAATATCTATACTGCCCTCGGAATGGTTCTTTCTGGCAGCGAAAACAATACGAAAGCCGAGATGATAAGAGCGATGCAATTGTCTGATTGTTTAGAACACGATCAAGTTCATTGTGAAATTGCTCAACTTCTGAATGATTGTTCGAAACCTAGTAAAGGTGTTGAGATAATCCTTGCTAATAGATTGTTCGTTGCACAAAATGTGAGTATCCAAGAGCAGTTCAAAGCTAATCTGAAGACAAACTACAATGCTCCAACAGAACATGTAAGTTCTTGCTATTCGTTACCAATCTTGCGTGAAGGTGGCATTTGAGACTGACATAGAAGGTTCTCGAAACCGGATAAACCAGTGGGTCAGTGAACAAACTAAAGGACAAATTCAAGAACTCATTTCACCCGGTTCATTAACAAACGACACTTCTGCTGTAGTAACAGCTACTACATACTTCAAAGGTAAAAGAATGTATGAATCTAACTCTCGATAATTATAAATTTCATTCTAACCGCGTACACCTTATATTTATCTGCTTCATATTAGTCGAAAAATCTTAACTGATGTTGTTATTTAGGTATGTGGGATTTGTCTTTCCCTGAGGATAACTCACACACTAGCGAGTTTTATGAACTAAACGGATCAAAAATGAGTGTGAAGTTGATGCATAACGAATCGTATTTCAATATGGCCAGTTTACCCCACTTAAAGTCACGAGCTGTTAAAATACCATTTAAAAACCCGAAGTGAGTATCAGTATTTAAACGAGTGTATTGTATTTTACTGGTTTATGATGTACCTTTTAGAAAACAAATGTAATAGTTTTCAGTAGTAATCTAAATAACAAACACCTATAGAAAATCACTTATAATTGCAGCGTTTTGAGTTCTCCACAATATTATCAATTTATTCAACACTTTAAATTGATTTACCATAGGGTATAGGATTCTGTGATGATTATTTACTGAGTACAGATGTGGACTTGGATTATAGCTTAAAGGTGCGTTGATTTTATCGTCTCTTCATTTAGGGAAAGTTCGGAATAAGAGACTGTAAACTTATTATGCACTGACAATTGATTGATCGATGAGTAGTGACCAGTTCTCTCAAGGATACAGGTACACCTTGCTGACGGTTGTCAAATAGCATAAAACCTGGGTTCAACTCTTACTGTTGACTACTTGTAACCACCGCTCTACTTATTATAATGTGTGTTATTATGCTGCCATACTTGTATATCAGTATCCTAAACACTAATCAAGACATTTTATTCATATCTGTTCCACCAATAAAGTGTTTTAACGTCGCTATTGGTAGAGTCGGAGACCATTTTGACTCTCAAGTACAAATTATCTTACACATTTCAGCGATTACTTGAGCTGTAAGGTCAAGAAGAAGTGTGACTCGATTGTAATGTAAATTCTTAAACGTACACATTTTATGCAAGGATTATAGATAGCATTGTGTTACAAAATGTATAGTGAGGTATATTTGACTCTGCAATACGGTAAATGAATACTTAATACAAAGAGCACTAGACACAACATCAAATGATGTTAACTTAATCAAAGTTGATTCAATTTATGAAAAAAATCAACTATCGGATCCACTTTGAAAACTGTAAGTTAAGATGGATGTCCTAGTATGAATACACCCTGTTTTTATTGAAAATATTAATGTATCTCTTTTTGTCTAGTTATTCCTTGATATTACTTTGGTATCCCTTCTTTTTCAAACACTTCGTTATCCAGGTTTACGTTATTAGTTGTTCTTCCAGATGTAAATAACGGATTGCCAGATTTGCTGGATTCGATGTATAAACATGGTGGAATTTCTTCAATACTATCCAGTAGTTTTCAAAATACGAAATTGCAGTTGTATTTGCCTAAATTTAAATTGAGAGAAGGCCGTGCCTTAAAACTGAAAGATCATCTACGGAAATTGGGAATAAACGATGCATTCTGTCCTTTATCAGCTGACTTTTCAAATGTTTCTAACTCATATCGAATGTTTATATCAGATGTGATGCATAAAGCTATTTTTGAGGTAAGCGAATGAGATACATGTAAAAGAACACATTTTTAGTATATCCTTTTATCTCAGATAATTATGTGCCAGTTTTGAGGAGATACTATTTCAAATTTTTAATATTGGCTATTTGTAAAAGTAGTTGGATATGTAATATACAACTAGGTTTCATTATTTGTTTTTGAAGTATCTCAATGTTGTGTGATGTGTTGTGTTGTCAGTTCTGGCTATTAGTGAACATACACCAAAATGGTTGCAGAAACAAATATGATCAAATGACTCGATAAGAGTAGAGGATAAACATCCATCATCCTCTATTGCCAAACATATAATCGAAACAGGCCATAAGATGGATCCTAACTCGGCTTTTGTTGTGTTGTATGACAGTGTGAAAGGGCGTATACTAAGGTTTATTGAAGCCTTAGTCCTAGGAAAATTCAAACCCCCTTTGTGTATTCAAAAACAGTTTGTTCTCTCTTTGAACCTACCTAGCTTATTATCCAGAGTGATTAGGTTTCAAAATGCTTTCATATTATTATTATTATTATTATCCTTGTTTACTCTTAACAACCCCCAATTCCAGTCTGGCTGATCGTTTTTTAATGTGTATGAGTGTTCTTAACAAGTATATTATGTGTGATCAGATTGTTCGAAATGTATTGCGCTAATATCTCATCACATAGTTCTGATAATCTTTGTCTTCTTATTACACTATCGAAATTAATCAGTGGGACTAATTGCTTTAAAGATTCAGATTTCACTTGTTGTTCCGTAAAACAGTAGTTAACGTCAATATTTCGTTCACTGTGTTCATATATAGTACTGCACATCTTACAGTCAGTAGTTGTCTGCTTGAAGTCATATTTCAACATCAGCTAGGACTGATCTTGCCTTACATCCGTGAAGTAGTATGCTCCCTAATTCACTTCATATCAGTGTTAACATAGGAATGATAAAAAACAGTCTAGATTGGTGTATACCACTTTCATCATGGAAATAAAACTACTACAGCGAGAATTTGTATATTTACCTGGACACAGAATTTTTGCTTGCCTTAAGTGCTCCACTATAGGCTTTTGTCTAACTTATCAGTCTTCCTCATCTGAATCCCTGTTATAAAACGGTATCATTGATTTTCTTGATAGAAAATCTTCTCTCGTTAGTAGATGAACACAGCATCACTCATCTCAATTTGATCTACTTTTCAGAATATCATAGGTCTACCATTAAGTATATTTTCTTACCGACACAATTTTCGGCGATATTTTTTTGTGATAGAATCTGTCTTAACCACTTAAGATCGTTACACAATTTATCTGAGCAATACAAAAGTAAGTGCAAATGATAGTGTGGAAAAAGAATAAAACCTACTAACTGTATAAACCGTCTACATTTTATCACATTTATTAGTTTTTGATAAGCCATCTACAATAAACGTTCATGATACCAACTCTCCGATCGATTTCTATACTGACAATATTTGGATCTAGGAATCCAAAAAGTACAGTTATGAAGTTGGCTTACATCCTAGATTGGTTTGACATACAGGAAACAATGTGTGTTTATGTGGTTGTCATTAAAATAACCTAGGGTTTCTTAAATTTTCATTAAAGATGTACCAAATAAGCAATAATTCTGATATTTAATCACCTAGGTCAAAGGAAGAATGTAATAAGCTGGCTTAAAATTATCTGAATGCCATACAGATATACTGATTAGTCAAAAAAAATCATGAGCTATAGGCACTTCATATTATACGTTGTTCTTCTCGACCATTACCCCAACTGATTTCATTATCAAGAAAGAATAAAATTAAATTTACCCCATTTTACCACAATATTACTCAGCACCGGACCATAGCTGCTACCTTTACGTGGTGGTCGAACTTGCCTGTTGTGATGACCCAACCGAGCTATATTGGCTGGAACATATGTTCCTGTAGGTTCTAACATACCAGGCAGGTCGAATGGAGAACGGTAAGACTAAAAGCAACAACTCAAGGTTTGAGGGCGAAGTAGTACTGCTGACTGTAGAGCGGTGTGACAGCAGTAAGGTGTTTCCCTCCGACAACCAGCATCTGTAGCGATGCTGCCTTTTCACAAGGAAGGAAGGGATTAGGAAAGGTCGACTGTAAATATGTTTCGCCTCACCTTACCTCACGGATTTCCGTCTTTGGCGGTAAAGCCCTTTGAAGAACGAAGCTAACAAGTCAAAACCCCCCCACAAATGGCCGTACGCGACCGGCTTCATGCAGTTGTCCCTTGGGCTCTGTGGTCACACTCCCAACATTAATCCAACTTCCTTTTCATGTCCCCCAAGAAATACTCTTCCACTATCCGAGTACACGGAACGTTATTCCTGGTCTCCTGAAACCACGCTCTAAACTACATGTAGGAACTTTTAATGTCCGAACATTGACCCAAATAGGACAACAGGCTTCCTTAGCTAGGAGTTTAGAATCTTACACCATCAATGTGTGCTGCGTCTCCGAAACGCGCATACAGGATCCCAGTAGCGTCATTCATTTGACCTTATCTTATCAAAATAAAGAACCATCTCGATACACGCTTCGTGTATCTGGAAGCCTTGATGCTACTTCCCGTGGCCTCGCTGGAGTAGGTATAGCATTAAGTCCTAGGGCAGAACTGGCTCTTTTAGACGGAATCCCAGTAGACAGTCGTCTATGCACTGTCCGACTAAATGGATCAGTAAGGACTCGGAAAGATAGAGTCCCATCTTACTTTATGGCAGTGAAACATGGTCGGTAATAGTAAAGGATACTTGTAGACTACTAGTATTCGATCATAGGTGTCTTCCAAGCATTGCTCTATATCCTGGGACCACCGAGCAAGTAATACAGTGTTCAGGAAACGAGTACTAGGTAAGGATGGCAAATCAACTGATGAAGTGGTGAAAATCCATCAGTTAAGATGGCTGGGCACGTGTATCCTATACCCAACCACCGACTGCTTCGACGTGCGATGTTTTATGGTGTGGTAGTAGGTTGGAGGAAAGCTAGGGTTGACCAGACCAAAACGTGGCACAAATCCATGAAGTCACTGACAAGCGAACTGAGCCTTGTTGGTAGGTGTAGACTACCTGGTTGGGATCCGCGAGCTGATGGTTAGAGACCTTGAATGACATGTCTCAAAATCGTTTGTAATGGGTTGTCTCGACTTGATTTTAGACATTTTAGAGTATTTAGTACCATCTTGAAATTTATAATTGCATGGATCTGATTCATGACTAAACGGCTGTGAAGGGAGAACTCTAACTTTTCACTGACCTATGATCTGATAGGTTGGAAATCTGAGAGAGAAAGTGATTGAGCTAGAACTTATCCTATTTATCTCTCATGAGACTAACTCAAAATATGTACATAAGTGAATGACCAGCAAGATCACAATGCATGTGAGATACAAATATATTCAACCAGTGGCATTGAATTATGGAAATAAAATACAAGGTGACTTAAATTACGGTAATTTTGTTATGAAAAGAATTTTACAGTAGTTTTTACATCAAACGAAATCTTATAATTCATAGAATAACTAAGTGATATTTAGTATTGCTTTTTTGAACCTTCCCATCGATGTGTTAGGACTGCAACTGGTCAGTCTCTAATTGACATATGTGCATACTGTGTGTATTGCCTCGATATAGCCTTAATTCACAAGCATGGTAAGCAATGATGGATAGTGGCTAGCAGTGGATGCAGGTACATCCAGCTGACGAGTCCCAAATAGGACGAAACGCGCATCCTGGATTCCACTGCTAGCCACTATCCATCTTTGCTTACGATAACTAAGTGGATTTCTAATTATGCGAGGCAATGTGTAAATAGTATCTTTCATTGTTTGTTTTTGCTTCTCTTTATTCTTCTGTTCATAAAATATAGGTAGATGAGAAAGGTGCAGTGGCGGCTGCAGCTACAGCAACACAAATGGTTCGATGCACAGCTTTTATATCTCACAAACCTGTACCGGAATTTCGTGTTAATCATCCATTCTTCATTTCAATTATTTGGAATGATTCGTTACCAGTATTTCTTGGACATGTTACATCACCATTGAATCACTGAGATGAAAAAACACTGTCATTGAAGTTTACAAGAAATAATTTCTCTGGGATTAAAATATTTTAATTCTTTTTTCTTTTAATTTATCAAATTGCCTACTCATAGTTTCGTTATTCATATATAAATAGACTACTTACTTACTTACGCCTGCTACTCCCAATGGAGCATTGGCCGCCGACCAGCATTCTCCAACCTACTCTGTCCTGGGCCTTCTTTTCTAATTTTATCCAGTTCTTATTCATTCACTCCGCCTGTAGCTCCTACGCGGGCTACTACCGGTCCCCAATCCCGGGTAAAGGAGGAGGGTTGGACATGGGGTTAGTGACCTCATCCCATAGAATACCAACTCGCTAAAAAAACGCGAACAAGAAAAAATTATTCATATATAAAACTAACTAATAATAATTTTAATGAGAGAGTTCCTTTCCCTTTTACTTCTGTGATCATGTATTTTTTTAAAAGTTTTTCTTACTTTTTAATAAATTTCTATCTTCTTCTATGATCTGACTTTTATGTTCACATGACTACTAATCAGTAAGTAACTAAGAAGACTTTGTTCTGTTGTCAATATCCGTATTTTCAAAATAACTCATATTATTGGGTAATATAAAGGTCAGACGTATAGAATTATGTCACAACCTCTAAGATTGACTGCCCCCAAATGCCCTGGTACGGCCAAAAGTGGGGAGAGTCCGCTCTCCTTACTCCAAATACTCTCACATGGCCACGCGTATATAGCCTCTGCCAGGAAAGTCCTACTCACTGCTTTCTCGTAGCGAGGATGTTGTTTAAGAAATTGAGAGGAAAAAAAGCGAATGTCCGGCGCTCTAACTGGACTGATGGACACGGAAAGTCCACCTAGGGGAGTTGGAAAACCCTCATTCCAAACCAATGGTGCACATGGGCTGGCTCCAGTATCCTGATGGAACAAATGGCGTATAAATCAATCGTTGGTCACCGGCCACCATGGGACTACAACTCCTCATGACGCTCCACTGCTTTGTGTATCAGACCTTCAGGTCAAAGGCTCTGGGTGTGGTTCCCTAAAAAAACGACCTGCTTCAGTTTGGGCACCTGGGTAGTGTCACAGCCCTGACACAAATCAAATGAGATTTGTGTAGCGCATATGTCTCTGATGCTTCCTTGTACCAATATTTATGTATTTCATTAAATAAATAAACTTTGTGCTATCTGAGTCCCTGGATCGCGTTTTCTTTTGTTCCCTTCCAGATTTTCCAACGAATTGCTTCTCATACTCCTTCACTTTACAATACTTTACATGTTCTAACTCAGTAAACGACTAGAGTTTAGTTATTTTTGCTTTTCTTAAGATCTTCCATTTTTAGTAGCATCTACACAAATGAGTTCGCGTGTGTTCATTACTAAATAAGTTTATGTCTTGCTCAGAACAAACAAGTTAACGTAACTATTCTACGAATATCTGAAAAGTCTCCTATGGTCAATAGAAAGTTATTGCGAAGTTCCAGAATGATAGAAAATTTTAGGAAAGGCTTCAGACTGATTGTAACTTTTGAGGGAAGCTCATTGATTTCTCAGAAATCAGTTTTTCAGGGACAAAATTAAGTGCTTAATTTAGCACAGTCAACAAAGCATTTCACCTTAACTTACACAATTCTTCATACTTATTCTGGTAACATTAGAGCTATTACTTCTTTATATGAGACCGAAGTTAAATGCATAGTCTTGTGTTACGTCATCTACCTGATTAACGCAGAATACGATATACAACTGCGGTACTCGAACGTATAGAATCACCACAGTCGCAAATCAGAAGACGGAAGAAGTAGGAGAAGCGTAGGCTGGGTAAAAACCAAAGATGTACAGAAAAACATGTGTATGGATAGTTATTAGCGTTGGAAATAACATAATCGACTTTATTGTCCCAAAGTATTGTCGAAAGTTAATTTTCAGTTTCTTTTTGAATAATCTTCATCTATTTTGAAACAGTTAATACTCATTTTGATCTATTCAAGTTGTTCTTATCTATTTGATCAAAGTGCTGATGGGTTAGCTCATGATTAAAGACTTGTTGCTTTATTGTATCATCTACGTGAGAAGAGTATTGTTTTAAATCTAAGTTGATGCTAACGGTTTCGGACTGGATGTGAAGCTATCAGCCTAACTTAAAAATGCACTATCTCCAAAAAGTCTTACGGAACTACATTCACTTATGGAAACTCTTCAATATTATATTTCAGACCTGGACATTAAAATTCATGAGAATGGGATGAGGAGAAAGAGTGTTTATGAAGCACACTGAAGGTTCGTCAAAGTGATACTGCTCTCCGAACTCACTCTCCTAGTGTATATTCTGTATTTATTACTGATGCTTTATCTCTGGGTGATAGTGGTGTTTTAGGGCAGAAAGAAAAACCATCAAACTGTGTTTAACTCAAACCTACTATTGCTTAACTTGTAGTGTCAGTTTATATGTTAAGCCCATATACTTTATTCTAGTTACTGGCCCTGCTAATTCACTTATACATTGAGTCATATTTTGGTCTTGTTAGTTATTCGCTTATTGACCTTGACTATACTTTTATATCAGCGTATATGTGTACCCTTCGTATCCTATTCATCATATGTCTGTCATTCTTTTTTGTCTGATTATAAATATTGAGTAATGCTTGCTCATATCGAGTTGGCTTCCCAGCCATCTCCAATGCACATCATTTTTGCTTCGTTCCGCTCTCATCTATTGGCTTCATCACTCTGATTCCCTGGCCAGACCAATGAGTTTAGAAATTATATGTATTCTAAATCCATTCTCGTATTTGACGTATTTAACTCCGTTGTTCACCAACGCGTAATAAGTCACTTATTACATACGAGGATAGACAGTACGTAAGCAACACATAACTGGTTAGCCCGACATGCGAACTCGCTACAAACTATGTCATTCACAAACTCTAGCTGTATGTTGTGCTATTTAAGCGGCTTCACAAATATATAAGTTTTCGTATGTCTATCACCAAATGTTTACTAAAACTATGAAATATTTTATATAGTTCAGATCATGGCCAATTGAAGCTGGATCACCATGGAAAACCTGGAAGCACTGGATCTCTCGAGGCGGGATCGTGGACGTCCACTGTTGAGGAGTCCCACAATAGGACGAAACGGCCATCCAGGTTTTTCATGGTGGTCCAGCCTTAATGGACTCATGATTTCAACTATATGAAATTACTAAAATCTCCACAAAACCCCTTCTGATAATGATCATTTGCTCACTTGGTGACTGGCTCCATGAGGTGATTCCTGGAGTTCTCGTGAGAAGCAGTAACCAGTGGAGTTCAACCAGATCCGTTGCGAGATATCAACCCACTGAAGACTTTCGTTAGTGGTTGCTCAATTTTGTGGATTGGTTGAAGTTGGACATTAACACCGTTGGATGCCGGCTCAGTGGTCTATCGGTTAAGTGCTCTGGCACGAGACTGGTAGGTCCTGAGTTCGAAACTCGCGAGGCGGGATCGTGGATGCGCACTGTTGAGGAGTCCCACAATAGAACGAAACGGCAGTCCAGGTTTTCGATGGTGGTCTAGCTTCAATGGACTCATGATCTCAACTATATAAAATTACTAAAATCTCCACAAAACCCCTTTCTGATTATGAAACATTTTGACAAAAATAACTGCTGCGGCGAATAATTTTGATAATAAGAATTAAACTTGTAAATATCTTAGTCCAGCAATATGTTAATCACTGCTTCAGTTGCTTAATGTTAACGCCTTCCGTGGTGAATTGATATTACATCTTGTAATAATTTCACGTAATACATGAGTTCCCAAAAGCACAATGATGATTTATGCAAATTAGCATCGAGGTAGAGTCGATGAGGGTTTACTACTGTCTATCCCTTACCATCTCATGTATCATTTAGAACACTGAAGAATAAAAATTAAATCACATCCCTTCATAGTATCGATTGCTGTTCTGATTTGGTTCTCATAAACAGGTAAAATGACAGATAAAAATAAATGAACAGACAGTTTGATAGTTCAATTCACTGAGTAAGCTTTTGATTTCTAATCCTCTTCTATATTAAGGCTAGATTTGCTTAGTTACGGAAGATAAATTTTATTCCTACATTTGACAATCTTCGGCGTTTTGTAAGGACCAATAAATGATGACTGCTAACTTTGAAAGCCTTACTTGTAATATACTTTGTCGGTAAACACTTTCATTATGTGATTCGATGAAATGTAACCCAATACACCCTTCAAATGGAACACTGTAGTGACCTGCTTTTTCTCGACGAGAGCGCGATTGGTATAATGGAAACAATTATTATTATAACCAATTGTACCAGTGATTGTTTTATCGTACTTGTTGTTGTTTAACTGTATCAAAGTCACTTCTCGTTCCGCCATCCGCCTTGTCTGGTTCGAACTTTCTTACTCTCTGTCCTTATTGTCTGTACTCGTTGGCACGTCTCGGTATTCTTTCGATACCACGAGATCGCCAATAAATATACTCTATCTGGATCAGTCACAGTCTTCTGGTTTGCAATTTATCAAAGAGGACGAAGTCGTAAACGATGGCTCAATTCTCTCAATCAACTTAAAGCAATCCTTTATGAGTACTACATATTTCCAGATGACTTGTACCGTTGCGGTTTTAATAATAAATATTGAAGGCACTCTTTAAAAAATAAACAATGTTCTACTGGGTGTATTTAATATTATAAACAAGATTTGGGTTTATGACAACATAATCTCCCTCCAGTTATATGGTTCATTGAATTGAAATTCATGGTAGCATTTGCAATGAGCGCAGAATATAGTTCGCACCATATTGGTTCGCGCTGTAAATAGGAAGAAATTTAAAATATAGCTTGAATTGACAAATCAATTAGTTGAAAAGAAACATTCGAGTTACTACCACTGCACATTTGACACTTAATATTTAGCTGGAATGCTCAGTGAATTCGAGTTAAAAACGTTTCTTGTCTTCTACACATAACAAGTCGATTGAGAGTTGGATAATTCTTGGAGAAGTTGGAAAGTAAACGAGCAGTGTCAGACAACCGCTTCATCTTATTTCACTCCCCAAGGTGAATTATTTTGGATACAAACGGAAACTAGGAATCATTAGAATAAACAGATGACCACGTGTATCAGTCGATGATTAACTAAATCTTCATTCAATTCTTTTCCTTAACTTTACCAACTTTCAACCATTCAGCCTAAATCTGAGATATTGTAGCTGTAAATAATTCCACGAAATCAATAGCTTCTTAAGTGTTCGACATTAGATGCTGACTACATTAGTTTAAGTGGACTTGTTTAGCTGAAGGCGTTCGGTCATGCAACCGCACCAGATCACGTCACAACACAGCGTGGGAAACAACTCCTACGTTCACTAGCCAGATTAGAACTGTCGCTTCTCGACATATCGATAACGCATCAGATACATCCTTCC